GATATGAGAAGCGATGAAAAATTTAAGGTGATATGAAAGGCGTTGAGAAATTTAAGGGGATATGAAAAGCGCTGAGAATTTTAAGGTGATATAAAAGATGCTGAAAATTTTAAGGTGATATGAAAGGCGCTGAGAAATGTAAGGTGATATGAAAAGCGATGAGAAGCGATGAAAAATTTAAGGTGATATGAAAGGCGTTGAGAAATTTAAGGTGATATGAAAGGCTCTGAGAAATTTAAGGTGATATGAAAAGCGATGAAAAATTGAAGACACCCGATTTCGGTTCTTGCGCCGAGCTCTCGCGTTTTGTGCTGACCGCGGACTCGGCTTGGGATAATCCCCGACAAATCCCCGGGGGGAAGCCCTCTCGACGTAATCGCGGGTAATCGCGAGTAATCCTGGGGAAGGTGAGTATATCAGAGGGCGACTCCACCGCGGGCGCGATTCTCGGGGACGGCAGGTTCCCGGAGGGTCCAGGTGCGAAGGCGAGTCCCCGAAGAAGGCGAGGATGAACTCCAGCTCCACCGGCCTGGAGCCTTCCTGGGGGGCCAGGACGATGCCGGGAGGACCTCCACGGCTTCTGGGCTGGAACGTGCCACCGGAAGAGCTCGTCCATATCCCGGAACACTGGCTCGTTTACCCGGAACCCAATCCTTCGCTGCACTACTTGCTGGCTCTCCTCTACGTCCTCTTCACCTTCGTCGCCCTCCTCGGCAACGGACTCGTCATCTGGATCTTCTGCGCGTGAGTGACTCGCTGGGACCGAGGTAGCGCCTGTAATGTTCGCCCTATTTTCCATTAGTAAGAATTGTTTTATGTAAACCCTTGACTTATGATTTTAATTACAATAGCGCGTGCCATAAACAACAAAAAAGTCGGTCATACATAAACGCGATGTAGGGGAGCTGGGAAACCAGAAAGAGGTTTGCAACAAATTCATACATATTTATGTAAACGCGAAGTAGTGGATTGCAACAAATACATACATATTTATGTAAACGCGAAGTAGTGGAGCTGGGACTAGAAAGAGGTTTGCAACAAATTCATACGCATTTGGGTAAACGCGAAGTAGTGGAAGAGGTTTGCAACAAATTCTTATGGATTTGGGTAAACGGGAAGAAGTGGAATAGGTTTGCAACAATACGGATTTTAGTAAACGCGAAGTAGTGGAAGAGGTTTGCAACAAATATGTACATATTTATGTAAACGCGAAGTCGTGGAATAAGTTGGCAACAAATTCATACGACTTGGGTAAACGCGAAGTAGTGGAAGAGGTTTGCAACAAATTCTTACGGATTTGGGTAAACTTGATGTAGTGGAATAGGTTTGCAACAAATTTATACGCATTTGGGTAAACGCGAAGAAGTAGAAAAGGTTTCCAACAATTCATATGCATTTGGATAAACGCGAAGTGGTAGAATAGGTTTGCAACAAATTCATACGCATTTGGGTAATCGATACAACGCAACAGACATGAAGTATTTACATTTTATACCATTACAATCAACCACTTTGCACTACATGTAAACGTGTACTCCACCATATTATGTTTTTTATAGTTTGACGATAACCGATAACGTCTCTTTCTGCTTTTTCAGGGCCAAGTCCCTGAGGACTCCCTCCAACATGTTCGTGGTGAACCTGGCCCTCTGCGACTTCTTCATGATGATCAAAACGCCGGTCTTCATTTACAACTCGTTCAACACGGGCTTCGCACTCGGCAATCTGGGTTGTCAGATTTTTGGGCTAATTGGCTCATTTACCGGCATCGGAGCCTCCATGACGAACGCCGCGATCGCCTACGACAGATACAGGTAACCCACTGAACATTGTTACATATCTGTTAGGTAAATGTTACGTTTTCCACTAAACACAGGCCAGACACTCTCTCTCTCTTTATACGCATTAAACATAGATTGGTTTTTGTTTCATTTATAAACCTCAATCTTCAGGTTTATAATTCCAACAATTAATATAATTAATATAATTAAATTAGTAGTCAGTGCTATAAGGAGGTTAGGAGGACTTACCGACCTGATTTCAATTCAATAAGATTAAGGATACTTTCCTTACATTAATATAATTAATATAATTATATTACTAGTCAGTGCTATAAGGAGGTTAGATTAGACGACACTGGATGCCGCCATGTTATGATCACTGAACCGTCCATTCAGCAGAAAATCCCATGTTCCCAACTCATCGGTAACTGCTTTTCTCCTCCGAATGTCTAATTTGAATATGCAACCGTTTCAGCACCATCGCTCGACCCCTGGACGGGAAACTCTCCCGAGGTCAGGTTATGCTCTTCATCGTCCTGATCTGGACCTACGTCCTCCCCTGGGGCCTGATGCCCCTGATGGGCGTCTGGGGGCGCTTCGTCCCCGAAGGCTTCCTTACCAGCTGCACCTTCGACTACCTTACCGACTCCCCCGAGACCCGCTACTTCGTCGGCACCATATTCACCTTCTCCTACGTCCTGCCGATGGTGCTCATCATCTACTACTACAGCCAGATCGTCAGCCACGTCGTCGAACACGAAAAGGCCCTCCGGGAGCAGGCCAAGAAGATGAACGTCGACAGCCTCCGCAGCAACGCCAACAGCAACGCCCAAAGTGCAGAGATCAGGATCGCCAAGGTGACGAAAGAAAACCACCCTGAGCGAAACAATTACCAAAGATGAACGAGGAGACGTTTCGCGCCATTGTTTGAAAGGGAGGCACGCCCCCCTGGCGCCCTCTACGCCCTTTACACCTCTGGAAAAATTGGAACTACTTTCAAAGGGGGGAAATCTTCGCGATCGGTAAAACAGGGTACACGTAGATGCCGCGTCGTAATCTCAATCACCCACTCATAACAACTTTATTTGGTATTCGTAGTCTTCTTTCCCAACCTACGTGGACCCTGATATTAAAAACGAAAAGGCGATAACTTCATTCTATCGATACCGTGCTGTATTAGAAATCTGCAGACGGGTTTTTCTTTACCGATGGAGAACATTGAGAACATAAAAGTAGTTCCAATTTTTTCAGAGGTGTAAAGGGCATAGAGGGCGCCAGGGGGCCGTGCCTCCCTTTCAAACAATGGCGTGAAACATCTCCCCGCTCATCTCTACTTTATATAAAGCTGTCGTAGACATTTTGGAAAAGTATAAAAGCAAAAAATATTTCTCTTGTGCAATAACATACCCAGGTAACCCATGAAGTGGAATATACGTAAATTAATCGTCTAAATTAGGTCTGTAGGTATAGCAAACGTATGTCGTCTATCATCCACCTAAAAAAATATCTAAAGGATATATATAAATATCTATGTCTATTGTAGATGAAAATTATATATCCGCTATTGATCTACGAATATCTACTTATTTCTTGACGCATACAAAATATATAATAGCTCTAGTAAACATCTACCATGGTACGTTATATATATATATAAAACCATGTCTGGACATGTCCATAGTATATATAGGTATATAGGTACATACCATGTCCATATCCTTTGAGTTTATCCAAAATGGAGTTCATAGATATCCATATATATCTTACATACGTTCAATAAACATTTATATACGATTAATTTATGGATATTCCACGTTCAGCGGTGCCTGGGTAGTAATAAATTAACAATAAATGTTATTCAATTGTGCTAAAGTGGTAATGCCAGCTTTATGGACATCTTCCTTATTTATTATGGACTTCTTCCAGGCGGCCATCACGATCTGCTTCCTCTTCGTCGCGTCCTGGACACCTTATGGTGTTATGGCGATGATCGGTGCCTTTGGGGATCGTTCCCTTTTGACTCCTGGAGTGACAATGATCCCGGCTTGCACCTGCAAGGCCGTCGCCTGCCTGGACCCCTACGTATACGCAATCAGCCATCCCAAGTACAGGTGCGAACTGCAAACAAACTCAACGGATCATTCAGTCATGAACATCGGCAGAGTTTCAAGCAAATAGATTTTTAAACTGAGGAAAAGTCGGAGTTAGTCGAAACTAAACATACCAAGGCGTAAACAAAACAAAGATTCATAAAATTCGGCAGAGTTTCAAGCAAATACGTTTTTTAACTGAGGAAAAGTCGGAGTTAGACGAAACGACATAAACCATGGCCAAAACGAAACAAAGATTCGTGAGATTTGTCAGGTTAGGTTTGGTGTTCAGTAAAGAATTGTATTCTTTTTTTATCTTACCTACAATACTCGCCTTTCAATATGCGTTTCTCTTCCTCCTGTATGTGAGATATCGTTGGCTCACACATGCGATCTCTCTTTTACTCCCTCTTCTGGTTTGTTAGCCAACTTTTAGAGCATCAAGCGCTAACATAGGATCTGGGCTTATATGGGACTTTTGAATTCTTAACCAGCTCTGCTGATTTCCTTTTGTTCTTCAGGCTGGAGTTGCAGAAACGACTACCCTGGCTGGAACTGCAGGAGAAGCCTCCACCAAGCGACTCCGTCAGCACCACAACGGAAGCAGTCAATGCGCCTCCTGCAGCGAGCTAGTCAACAAACCTTTATTCTTTCTTCCACTTATATGCCTCACCTGACTCAACTTTACACACCTATTTATTTATTACCTTACGTTACTTACCTAGTTAGTGCCATTCCTTCAGATGATCGATGCATGTAAATAAGTCCACCGACAGCTGCAGTTGCAACTCCTGACTCGATGTGCAAAATAATACACCGTAAGATGAACGTAGGCTTCGACGTGCTTTCAAGTTGACACCGAAACCCACGAAGAACATTTAGACAACTAAAAACTGGATGATGCAGGCCAAAACTGGGAAACTGATTAAAAATAAACTGTTACGGAGGTTACCAACAGAGATATTTATTTGCCTTCGAACTCTTCGAGTCTTCGACTATGGATACGAAGCCATTAATGTTAGTGGTGATAAGATTGTTGCTCTTGACAAGGCTCAGGAGTCATTACTTTGGCACGAAGCAATATCAGGTTTCGAATAAAACTACTTCTTCTGCCGTTCCTTTGATGCAGAAGATCGGAAGGTTCCTAACCTGACTTTGTTCGACTACTTATATATTACCTTATGTGTTCCTTACCTCATTGGCGCTGTTTCTCTGACTAATCGATGAATGTAAACAAATCTACTGACAGCTACGATACGACTCCTTTGACTCGATATGCATAATACTGCACCGTAAGCGGAACGTAGGCTTTGACCTGTTTTCAAGTTGACACTGAAACAATTTAAGAACACTTAGATAACTAGGAACTGAATGATGCTGGCAAACAACCTCTTGACAAGGCTTCGGAGTCATTATTTTGGCATGTAGCAATGTCAAGTTTCAAATAAAACTACTTCTTCTGCCGTTCCTTCGATGCAGGGGATCGGCAGGTTCCTAACCTGACTCTGCTCGATTACTTATATATTACCTTATGTGTTCCTTACCTCATTGGCACCGTTCCTCTGACTAATCGATGAATGTAAACACATCTACTGACAGCTACGATACGACTCCTTTAACTCAATATGCATAATACTGCACCGTAAGGATGTAGGCAGTAAGATGCATGAACATAGACTTCGATCTGCATTCAAGTTTACACCGAAACATAACAACTAGAACGTAATGACGCAGGCAAACACTAAGAAACTGATTTGGAATAAACCGTCACAGATGTTACCACCAGAGATATTTATTTGTCTTCGCACTCTTTGGGTCTCCCACCGTAGACAAGAAACCGTTATTGCAAGTGTCTCTAAGAACGTGATTCGTCATTTCCGACGTGGCTCCGGAATCCTCACACGAAGCGACGTCAAGTATCGACATGGATATCGGTAACAAACAATTGTAGTAATGATCCTCTTCTGCCTTTCTTCGATGCAAGGGATCGGCAAATTCCTGCAGCAACCTCTGGTCACTTTTCACTTCCCGTAGCGCTGCTCACTTGTTGCATATTTCTCCAGCAGTCCGACGAATCGATCCACCGAGAGATCACGATGAACAGGCAGTAAGCTGAAAAAGGTGGAGTCGTAGAATTAGGTTATGTGAATTAAGACGATATGAAAGGGTCATTCTATACATACAGAACGTTAAAATATATATAAAACATTTCTCCCAACTGGATGCACCGAATAGTTTCAAACTTTACAACATGAATACGGAGGTTGTGAAGAAGGTTCCAACACCCATGAAATTTTATGACTGCCAAAACCTTCCCTATAGCCTTTACATTGACGTTGTAAAATTTGAAACGAATCGGTACACCCAATTTGGAGAATACTTTACCCAACGATTTGACCTCTCGGATACATATAGGCTGACCCTTTCATATCACCTTAAATGGTTCAATATTTAATACGTAAATGAAATTATACAAGATGGAAGAAATAGAGACGTACAAAAATTCAGTGGTTGGTATGTGCCATGGAAGTAAGCCATACGTGCACAGAGTATTTCCACACACGATTGCCATGTCAGGGTTTGGGAGTCCGCAGAGATCCAATTTCTCATTAATAAGTTTGGTATTGATATCTTCGGTCTGGATCATCCCAGCGGTTGCTGCTTCTGCCAGAATTCTTGTCAACGACACGATGGCTCCTTTTCCATCGGAGTTTGACAGAATTCGAACATGCACTCTCTTCTCATCGGAGTTGTGGTTTAATGTATCTGCAAACAAATTCCACTTATTACGTCACTGATGCGCATCGTTGGGTTAAAAATATCTGTCCGAAATGTAGTACATGTTTGTCCAGTTTACATTCCGAGTGTCGCTGGCTCTAGTTTTAGTATACATTTGGACTCGAAAGTGTTTGAAATATCGATACATTTTGAATAGCGTGCGATCTCTCCATACTCACCACTTATCCCATTCTTTTTACTTCTGAAGGGTTTGCGAGTGATCCACTCGGTGTGTTTCACAAGATCTGGCCTCGACTGAGCAAATTCTTTCCTGATGGTTAGCTCGTTTCTCTCGGCTACACCTGAAACGTTAATGTACAATTGACCATTTGTAATGTATTCGAAGTTGCAGGACATAAATAAAGATCCCTCCAAAAGTGTTAACTTTAATTTACAATAAGCACCGTTAACTCTTAACTTACTCAATCATTTAAACGAATATCAAAAATATTTGGCATGGAGTCAGTTTTTATCCTTTGAACTGAATTAAAGACTAATTTGGAAAAAGTGTGGATGTTTTTATTTCAATCCGATATATTTTCATAGATAGTATCTCTTTGGTGCATCGTTTCACTTTTACAAACTGCTTTGTATTTTCGATACTAGTCAGGGATCAATACATCAATTTTGTTATCAAATATGAAATTTCACAAGCACTACGTTCTTTTAAGTTAATAAATATTTTGACGTTTTATATATATAGAATGATTGTCACCCTAACCTCCAAAACCCAACATTCACCTGGTGCTCATCGATTCACCTCCATAATCACATTCTGGACATTTAAATAATTCGCTGCACTCAATTTGCGGACAAGTTTATAAATATAGAATAATTAATGTCACCCTAACCTCCAAAACCCAACATTCACGTGGTGCTCATCAATTCACCTCCATAATCATATTCTGAACTTTCAAATGACTCGCTACACCCAGTTTGCAGAAAAGTTAATCAATATTTTATCGTTTTATATACATATATAGAATGATTGTCACCCTAACCTCCAAAACCCAAAATTCACCTGGTGCTCACCGATTCACCTCCATAATCACATTCTAATCTTCCAAATGACTCGCTGCACAGTGTGCAGAGAAGTTAATAAATATTTTGCCACTTTATATATATAGAATGATTGTCACCCTAACCTCCAAAACATTCACCTGGTGCTCATCGATTCATCTCCATAATCATATTCTGAACTTTCAAATGACTCGCTACACCCAGTTTGCAGAAAAGTTAATAAATATTTTGTCGTTTTATATATATAGAATGATTAATGTCACCCTAACCTCCAAAACCCAACATTCACCTGGTGCTCACCGATTCACCTCCATAATCACATTCTGAACTTTCAAATGACTCGCTGCACTCAATTTGCAGACAAGTTTATAAATATTTTTTCGTTTTATATATATAGAATGTTTGTCACCCTAACCTCCAAAAACCCAAATTCACCTGGTACTCACCGATTCACCTCCATAATAACATTCTAAACTTTCAAATGACTCGCTGCACAGTTTGCAGAAAAGTTAATAAATATTTTGTCTTTTTATATATATAGAATGATTGTCACCCTAACCTCCAAAACATTCACCTGGTGCTCATCGATTCACCTCCATAATCACATTCTGAACTTTCAAATGACTCGCTGCACTCAATTTTCGTTGGCTCANACCTCCATAATCACATTCTAATCTTCCAAATGACTCGCTGCACAGTGTGCAGAGAAGTTAATAAATATTTTGCCATTTTATATATATAGAATGATTGTCACCCTAACCTCCAAAAACCCAAAATTCACCTGGTGCTCACCATATCGGTCGTAAAAGCTGACATAGGGAATGTTGGAGAGGAAACACCATTCGACGAAGCGCACGAGGTCGCGGACAGAGACGCGCTCGTCAGCCAGGACGACGGCCACGTGCGCAGGCAGTTTGCGCATCCTGGGGACGCTGGCTCGGAGGACCTTGGCATCGGCGGGCGGTCCTGGGCCGAGCCAGCCCGCTGTCCATAGACCCTGGAGCAGCTCCCAGACCTCGCAGATCCATTCTAGCAAGCCGAAGACCGCGTGCCCGAACCACAGGGCCGCGAGGAAGACCGCGTTCATTTTCGCCGCGCCGCCGATCCACTCCTTTTATCGCCCCGCATAATGACTGACTCGTCACCGATATCGTCCGATATCTCGCGACGAGCGTGGACGATCGCGCCCGCGGCCACTACGACCTCGACACCTGTCGCACCTAACCTCCAAATGCAAGCTGAGACCCTCGTGCTCCCCGCCCCACCGAGTCGCGTGCCTTGGCGGAAATAGACCGAGCTACGCCGCACGCGGCGAGGGTCGCACTGCGCGCGGCGAGTATCGTACTGCGTGCGGTGCGTCAGCGCGGCAGGCGTCGCACTGCGCGCGGCGAGTATGGTACTGCGTGCAATGCGTCAGCGCGGCAAGCGTCGCACTGCGCGCGGCGAGTATCGTACTGCGTGCGATGCGTCAGCGCGGTAAGCGTCGCACTGCGCGCGGTGCGTCAACGCGGAGGGATGAGCTAGTGAGATTAAGCGATGTATAAACACGGTTTCACGATTATAGGTTTGTTCGCGTTATAGGCACTAGGTTTGTTCCTTTTGCCTACACTTTCTACACTTTTACGAAAAGTGTACACTTTTACGAAAAGTGTACACTTTGGAGTTCGTTTTGACGAAAGTGACGCAGTTACTGTTCGTTTTGCGAGGGCATCTACACCGAGTATACAGTTTCTCTACACTTTCTACCAGGGCGTTTATTACGTATTTTTGACGAGAGCGCTCACTTCTCGCACTTTCATCTCGCGTGGGTTTATTCGTCGAATTACGTATTCGCTATATGAAAGAACGAGATCACTAGCACTTTTGGGTGTTTATTATGTATTTTTGAGGAGCGCTCACTTCTCGCACTTTCATCTCACGTGGGTTTATTCCCCGAATTACGTATTCGCTATATGAAAGGACGAGATCACTAGCACTTTTGGGTGTTTATTATGTATTTTTGAGGAGCGCGCTCACTTTTCGCATTTTCATCTCACGTGGGTTTGTTCCCCACTATTATTTTATTACGTACTCGCTATAATAGAATATAAATAGATATAGATAGATATAAATAGAAATAATGATTAATACATTTTCTTCATGTATAGAACGATTTAGGGTTTTAATTTTGTACGTAATCTTTAAAAAATTGTACAATCATTATTTATTTACAATTATATGTATTACCGCATCATATATTATCACTATCATCATCATTTGCTAGAAGATGTAATGGAGGAAGCATTACATCTTCATTTTCATCATCATCCGATTCGAATAGCTCCAAAATTGCATACTGTTCCGCTGAAACGACCATCTTGTACTTTCTTAAGTTTCTGACATAAAAGTAATAAAACTGTCTTATACTATGTTAAAACGATGGGAATGTGAGGTCTCGGAGTGAAAATTTAGTAGACATGGAAATCACAGATGACGCAGGGTGTCCCTCTGCAGTCAATTAGTGCCTCAAAAGCCATGAATCCAGATTTCTTGAATTTTATTCGATTCCTTTATAGTTATTGTAGGAAAACGACGGTTGGTGTATGCCATTTAGTACAATATTCATTATACTTCGACACAGCTGTCGATATAATAGGAACGTAGGCAACGTAGGTATTTAGAAGAATCTTTTTTAATGACGTCATTTAAATTTCTAGACAGGTTTCACTTCACCTTAATCCCATTAGTTATAGCATCGATGGTTAAAGAGTAGCGTAAGATAGCTCATGTAAATGAACTAAACCTGGATGGATTTTAATTCAACCTCTGGAAATTCTGTCCGCAATTCTAACTCCTGTTCACCGAGAACAAATAATTTATTAAGTTGTTCGACGTAACTGTGTCAGGAAACACGCAAGGTGAAACCAATTAGGGTTGTAACTAAAACACGATAAGCATTCATGAAAAATATATCTGTATTTCGTCATGGTTAATCTTATCTCCACCTTATTTTATACTCACTTTATGAAAATTAACGTTGAAGTGTCCTAACCTACAACTCCATTAACAAGTATCGTTGCTTCGTTCAAAGTGATAAAGCACCAAAGGTACCGGGCTCCATGTACGTAATGTTATCAGGGAAATTGTCGACTATTAGGAATTTACTTTCACTCGTCCTGTTAATTGTATCTATGAAACCGAACCAATAGATAACGAGGCCTGGGCCGAAGCGGTTCCAGTAGCTCAGGAACTGCTTCTTGACGTATCTATTATGAACGTCTACATTACCGAATCGAGCTTTCGACTCTATCCAATTGACAATGAACCCATTTACAGCAATTGGCACTTCGAGCTTGATGTCTGGTGTTTTGTCGTATCCTCTCGATTTAAGATACTCCTCGTCTCGAAATGGAATATTCCTTTCAGTCACATAGGTCTTCAGTGCTGTTTCGTATTCCTGACCGATAGAACTGGAAAGAAATTGGTTAAAGATAAACCTGGTAATTTCAGTATCTACTTTTGTACCACGAAGTAGCGTATAGACCTCCTACCTACATATAAAAATTAAACCTACATTTTTTGCCACGAACCGTATATTTTCTACAGGGTTGGGTGATTCCCCATTTTTCCAGTCGTCAAAGTATCGCTAGTGTTATTATTGGCTAATTTAGTAAGGAAACATCGGGTCAGAATTTTCCAGAAAGACTCGTAGCGAAGAATTCAGAGGTTCCATTAAAATCCAAATTCCATGTCAGCATTTGATATTCTACAGAACTTCTGAATTCTTTGTATATAGAATAGAAGCTCCTTATTAAAAAACTCGGTAGAGTTTCGCACCAAATATATATAAAAGATACTTCACGTTTCGTACTTACATTCCGAGAGTGTCGGCTATGGGTCCGTAATGTGGGTCGTAGAGCACACACTGAAATTAAAATGATATAAATTAATACACACTGAAATTTTTATCATTTACCATTTTTTAGATAACAAATAAATTGATAAAGAATAATACCAAATAGATCTCATAAGCAAGATCCTTCTCTTCGATAAGCGTGGTGTCTCTTAGTAGCTTCGTTATGTTTAGTTTCGAGTCTGTAAACAATAAAATGCTATATATCAGAAAGTATTACAATTACTCAGAAGTAAACTAATGTAATTACAGCGTAAAAGGAAAAATACATCGTTAAATAATTATCTGATTACTAAAGTCTCTCGTTAATGGCATCATCATGAAACTCGGCAGAGTTCTGGCTAAATACAATTTTAAACTGAAAATATTAAATTGTTATAGACAATGCCACTCAAATATTTAAGAGCTTTTAATAACTTTCCCAAATTTCATAGAGAACAAATCGATGAATGAAATTATTGGCGTGACGTTCTGAAGATTTAAAAACTAGTAAAGAGAATAATAAATAACTTAATAAATGGATAAACCAATGAATAAATTGAACACTAGTTATATGTGATGTCATTGTTGCAATGTAGTCAAGAGACTTTGTTTCGAGACATATGAAATTATTATTACAGAGGACGTCATAGCTTACTAAACTAGTAAACAAATAATAAATGAATTAGTAAATGAATAAGCCTGTAAGTAAATATAAAAGTAATCAAATGACGCTATCTCAAAATATAATATATGAGTAGCAGCATATAATTATCATTTAAAATTATCGACCGAGTATACTTACCATCGTCCTTCATTTCGCAGTACTTCTTTAGGACAAAACGTGCTAGTAGTGCTGGTGGAACCTCGATAGTCTCCGCTATTCGTAGCAAGATTCCAACTGGTTCGCCGCCCGACTTAGCTTCTTTATATCTACAAATTGCAAGACTTTAATTGCTACATTCGATCCATAGTCAAATGACGAAAGTTAATCATCAATCGTAGCATCTCGAAATGCATCGTTTGAGTTTCTGGATAACATTATTTACATTAAAAATAGGGTAATCGATAACACACCTACATGTCGAAATATGGTTTATTCTGACTCAATAATCTGTGAGAAGTGAATTTCATTTTCCTTTCCATTTCCTGTGACAGAATACTGTAAAGCGTGTTGACAGGGACACTGCAAGTAGATATGATTAGAATTTCATGAAGAAACTAACGAATGGCTATGTACGGTTAACCTTAAAATATACTTGGTATATTTTTCTTTCAACATCTTGGCACAATTTTTCGCTAGTCCTTTAAAGCTACGAATAGTGGCCGCTATATCTTCGTACTCCTCCGGCGACATATTTATTCGGTTTTGACAAACTGACTGTTGCATTCAAATTAAAACTCTTGTGGTTCCTAACCTCCAAGCAAATGCGTAGTAATTCCGGTAACTGCCGTATCGACTGGTACATGGAGTGAGTCATAAGTTGACTGCGAAAATTTGAATCTAGGGATCTATTACGTAAAGCAAATTGAGCGAAAATGTGAAAAATGAAGAGTTCACGGTATTACGGGACGTTTTTGGTGGTGAAAATGCGAGACCATTCATACGAATTGGCTCGACACAGATTTTGAAACGAAATGAAAAGTGATCTCGTTCTTTCATATAACGAATACGTAATTCGGCGAATAAACCCACGTGAGATGAATGTGCGAGAAGTGAGTGCGCTCCTCAAAAATACATAATAAACACCCAAAAGTGCTAGTGATCTCGTTCTTTCATATAGCGAATACGTAATTCGACTAATAAACTCACGTGAGATGAAAGTGCGAGAAGTGAGCGCTCTCGTCAAAAATACGTAATAAATAAGACGCCCTGAACGTCTCGATCGACACTTAGATTCGGATTTACTGGGTTTGGACCTGATAAATCCCGGATTGAGGAGTACGATGGAGACATAGTCATTGAAATTGAAGTATTTCAATAAGATTTCAATCAGTTTACCGTTGTTTATTTGATAGCACCCAATTTATAAACCCTGACGACGATTGATTCATTCCAACTAAAGCTGCAATCTGATTGGTCCGTTGATTCATCCTCCGCCATCTTGGTGTCACGTGATCCGAGTTTGGCGGGCCGCGCGAAACATGTGGGAACCTGCAACCTCTACGTGACTTTCTACGTCTGTGTGCGTCAACTCTGTATCCAGCCATACGAAAGTTTACAATCTTTTTTTCATTACGTACAGCCTTGGCAGTAATTCTGCGGCAATTTACGAAGCAGTTTCCAACAATTTACTGTTCGTCTCGCACGTTCCTCGCTAAATTACTCATCAATTCATTCAGTTTACATGAACACACGGAACCGGCTGTCTTAACCTGAAAATGGCTGGAAAACCTGTTAAAAGGGCACCTAAGAAAAAGGGAGCCAACGGTTATAAACTGCCCGAACCTATTCCACGTGGAGAAATATTGACAGACATGTCGAAGAAGCAATGGGTCATCGGTACCTCCATTGGAACCGGTGGATTCGGAGAAATTTACTCCGGTGTGTATTTGCGCTACTCAACAGGTTATACAGATTGTTTACAAATTGCAGAGAATATTCCATAACTGGCTTAACCCATGAATCTATGTCGTTGATTATTTTATGCTATTATTATGTCATTATTAGTTCGAGGAATAAGTTCCCATCGTTTTTAACGTAACGTAATATAATTAAATTTGTGGAAACTTATTCTGCGACCTAATGTATGCTTTTAATATATTCAGGATTAAATTGCGCTACTCAATAGGATTGTTTACAAATTGCAGAGAATATCGTATCACAGATTGAATCCATCGATCTATGTCGTTGATTATTTTACACCATTATTATTTCATTATTAGGCTAAGGAATAAATTCCTGTCGTTTAAACATAACATATTGTAATTACATTTGTGGGAAGTTATTCCTCAACCTAATGAATGCATTCAATACATTCAGGATTAAATTCGTTACAGCTGCTCCATACAACAGTAAACAGACAAGTGAATATCCAGCCGTTGTCAAAATAGTATGACTCCAAAATTATTATATCCGTGATACTAAATTTATTGTATTCTTAATGTACTAAGAAATTGTTTTTTTTTTTTTTCAGGAACCACACGAAAATGGACCGCTCTTTGTTGAAATGCATTTCTATATGCGTAATGCGAAACCAGCAGACAGTACGTAGTATAATGTCTTTACTGTTCGAACCTAATCGTAATAAGGTGTTTCATAACATTTATTTGATCCTTTAAGGTGAAGTGAAACCTCCTTTAAATCAGTCGACTCGAATAAGACACTTTTTTTTTTTTAAGGATTTCTTTATAATTATTGTACAAAAATGACTGGTGGAGTATGCCATTTAGTACAATACCCAATATAATTCGACACAGCTATCAATATAAAAACGAACGTCGGCAACGTAGGCATTTAGAAAAATCTTCTTTATCGATGTCGATCAAGTTCCTCAACGTGTTTCACTTCACCTTAACTCGATTAGCAAAATTGAAAAAAAATGTTCCTTGTACTGAGATGTTTTAAGAAATGCATCGCTGGCTTGAAAATAATGGCAATCTATAGTTGAAATGTTTCTATTGCTTATGTTAGTTGATGCTTGGAAGAAGAAGAGGAAACTTACCACGCTTGGAATGCCACGTTACGTTGGGTCTGGAAGTCATGAATATAATAACACTAAATATCGATTCGTGGTAATGGATCGCTACGGTACAGATTTGTGGAAATTGTTCCTTGAAAATGGACGTAGATTTCCAGAACATACAGTTTATAGAATAGCACGACAAATAGTACGTAGACCCAGTTTTTTAATTCATCGAAGTAATTTGAATTGGAATCTTTTACCATATTAAACTACATGTTGAAAGAAGTTCTGTATTTTTGTACCATCTTTTTGGAATTTTGATTCGCACATCGCATACTCATGTAATATTTTATTTATATATTTTATAAATTGGTAACATATGACAAATTTAATGTGTAAGTATTAATTTTACAAAAGCTTAACTTGATGTTATAAAATTATAAAAATTTCTTTAGAATTTAGAAGGATTTTGAAAATTGTCACTGTGTATCGGAATACAGAACGACATACTTGTGAACTTTTTGTTTATGCTGTTTATTGAAATTAGAGAAAGATAATTAGAGGAAAATGTTACATTACTCTATTATGTTATTAAAAATATTAAAAATTTGTAGATAGACATTCTACAGTACATTCATGAGAGGAGTTATGTTCATGCCGACATCAAAGGAGGAAATTTACTGCTCGACACTAAATCCCAGAACCAGGTTTACTTAGTAGACTTTGGTCTAGCATCTCATTACACAACCAAAACAGAATATAAATTGGATCCGAAGAAAGCTCATAATGGAACGATCGAATACACCAGCAGGGATGCTCACATGGGCGGTACGTAATGATTAAATTGTTAATTGCACTGTATCTCTTATTTCAAAGACTTAACAGCTGGCTCATTCATTTACTAATTTATTTATTATTCTCTATACTAGTTTATTAAGGTGTCTGTGTTATGATAATTTTGTCATTACATACATTTTTGATGAAAAATTAAGTTTCATGAGTTGTTTAGGACCTACCTTAGCGCCTCCATATTTCCGTGGTGAAATTTGGAACTAATCGGTACCTCCAATTTGGGGAATACTTTCCCCAACGATTTGACTTCTGAGAGATATATATTCTGACTCTTTCGTATCCTCTTAAGTCTTAAAGTCTGCTGGAATTATAATTTCATTGTTTCGTTACAGTTGCAACAATGCGGGGAGATATGGAGATCCTGGGATTTAATATGATCCAATGGCTCTGTGGGGCCCTTCCCTGGGAAAAGGATTTGAGCGACCCAATTATAGTGCAACAGCACAAAGAAAAAGCATTCAAGAACATCCAAGCCTTCCTGAAGGAATGTTTCAAAGAGTCACCACCAGAGCCCGTTACTCAATACATGTCAATATTAGCCTCCATGAAATTCGACGACGTGCCCGATTACGATAAGTTCAGGAAAGTACTTTCAAATGGCCTGCAGAAGCTGAACAAAAAGGCAGAGGGCAAATTAGAATTCGAGGCGGTTAAGTCTGGGAAAGAACAAAGGAAAGTCGTGAAACCCGTTGCTGGAAAGAACCGAAAAAGCCCCAGAGGTGCTAAGAGAGATCCAAGTCCAGTTTCCTCGCCTCGTCAGGTTGATAACAGTCAACAATCTATTGTTACTACTCGACGAGGCAATGCTGAAGACATGCGACAGATTTTGGACGACTATGAGTCTCTAGACGCCAGTACGGAGTATGAGCTCAGAGTTATCCGGAAACCAAACAGGAAACGACACTCGGACACGAAAGATTCGGACAGTGATAACGCTGTAGGGAACGTCAGGCCACAGAGGACAAGAAAGAAACCGAAAGAATTAGTGCAACGCGTAGCTGAAGTACGAACTTAGTCTTTCTTTCTCGAAAGAGAGGTGGTAGTCTTTCATTGGACGCCAGGTCTCTTTACTGTAAATATTGTTCTTTCGGGCATTTAATGTGATATGAAAGAGTCAGCCTATGTATATCTAGGAAGTCAAATCGTTGGGGAAAGTATTCCCCGAATTGGATGTGCCAATTAGTTTCAAATTTCACCACGGGAATATGGAGGCGGTAAGGTAGGTCCTAAAACTCAGGAAATTTCATTTTTCATGAAAAATTTATTTATTTATCATGGACTAGAACCAACATGGCGTGGTCAGGACACGTTTTCGATGTTTTACGCTTCTTGGAGGCTTAGAATCGAAAATGAAGAGTTTCAGGACCTAGCTCGAACAATTTAGAATACTATAAAAATGGAATATTACAGAGTCAGATGGGAAAATATAGATAATACTTTCACCAACGATTTCTTTCTTTAATGCCTGGAAATCTCTCTGGAAGCGATGTATCGACGCAGGAGCCTATTTTGAAACTTTTTAATGTGTTGTACCGATCTGATCTATACATTTTTTTTAAATCGACACACTGACATTACTTTTTGGACCAACTCTGTAGGTCACATGTTCACTGGCGGACATGAATGCCTCTCCTGCAGATACAGTATCGCCTGTGCAGGATAGAAGTGCATTGATGTCTCCCAGTGTATGTACAATGGCAGACATGAATGCCTCCCCTACAGATACAGCATCGCCTGTGCAGGATGGAAGGGCATTGATGTCTCCCAGTGTATGTACAATGGCGGACATGAATGTCTCCCCTGCAGATATGGCATCGCTTGTGCAGGATGGAAGGGCATTGATATCTCCCAGTGTTCATCAAGTCATCAAATGAATCACATATTTATTCTTGTTTCAGAGTAAAAAAGTCAGGAATTCAAGTGACGAAGCCGATGAGAAAGAGATAAATATCGACTCATCGTGCGAGGAACTGAATGATTCCGTGGCAGATATTTTCTCCGATAGCAGTGATATTTACACGCCATCCAAATCAAGAAAACAGAGAGCAGTTGTTCCCAAGAAAGATGTAAAGACGTCGAACAGAAGACTCAGAACCGTTGCGAAGAAATAGTTATTGCTGAGCTCCCAAAAACGAGCTTATTCGAGAAAGAGAAGTTAAATGCAGCTTTTTAAGGGAAATGCATTTGTCGGATTTGTACAATTAATGTTGTCTGAAAGGGTCATTCTGTATGTATGAAACGTGAAAATATTTATATAGCTTTTCTCCAAAGTGGCTGCACCGAATTATCTGAAACTTTAACACATGGTTATAAAGGCCCTAAAGAAGAACGCGATGCTGGTGAAATTTAATTTTTTGAAAAAAAATTTGTATTTAGCTTGGACAAGAACCAAAAAAGACATTTTTTTTTCGAAAAATGAAATTTTAAGGGCATCGCGTTCTTCCTTAGGGCCTCCATAATCTCGTGCCCAAGTTTTAGATAATTCGGTGCACTCAATTTGGAGAAAAGTTTTATAAATATTTTCAGGCTTCGATATGTATAGAAAGGCCCTTTCATATCACCTTAATCTTCTCTGATACCTAGTGATAAAGTTCACTGACATCTGGCGACAGAATGAGCGAATTGACTGTCTGCAGAGCGGTACGCTAGTTTGCATTGCATGTATTGTGATAATTGAATGAGATTTTGCGATTGGATGAATTGAAAATGAAAATTCTTGTTTTCTCTATTTCCTAATAAAGAACTTTTTCAATAATGTGTGTGCGATGACAGCCCTCGAAATCTTGTAAGTTAATGTATATGGATTTCTGCGAATATAGATATATTTTAGCCTTTTAGGCCCGGTTCTACAATTCCAGTTAATAGGAATTTAAGTGGCTTACGTCAGGTTTATACACAATAATATGTAAGTAATTATCATTAATTGTTTTTCTTTATAAACATTTTTTTTCTTTAGAAAATCCATTCTACCCCTGAGGCGATTTAAATTCCGCGCTGCTCCCGCCACTAGTACATTGCGCGTATGGAGAGGGCAGTAGGTCCGCGAGAAAACCATTGAATGCCGGTGTACACCATTGCGCACCTTTCGCGCGCAGGTTTCCTCTTGCAGTTCCAAGATGGCGGCCGCGACGAGCAATGGCCGTGCTCCTTCTTCCGGTACCTGCCGGTGGCGTCTCGTGTCGTTTCTGGTGAGCGTTTGAGCGTTTCTAGTTCTTTCCATGTGGAGTGAACCACTAAAATGAGCACGAGCGACGACGTTATCACCCTGGAGGACCCGGTTCACAAGGAGGAGGTCGCGCATTTCCAGGCGCCTGCGATTCAAGATAACCCCAACGGCTGGGGACCCTGCGAGCTGCCCGACCAGTTTAAGGACATTCCGTATCAGCCCTTCTCCAAGGGCGACAGACTCGGCAAGGTAGTAGTCTCTCCTAACCTCACTTTTTAACGTCAGGCTACGTATCATTCCTCCAATACTCGCTACTGATATATAAAAGAGAGAGAGGTTCCAATTTTCACGGCTTTGACGGCACCTAACCTCTTTTTTTCTCTCCATTTTTTAGATCTCCGATTGGACCGGTGCTGCTTTCCAGGATAAAAAGTTTACGAGTGAGTATCTTGGTCCTTTTCGTCTTCGATGCAAAGTATGGATTCTTTGACGGGAAAAGGATTACGTTCTTTGGATTTTTTAACGATTTGCATTACTGATTTATTATTATTTCATCGGTAGATTGGCTAAGGTGGTACGTAGGTTCGATGTGGTTCTTAATGTTTTCATGTTGAATTATGATCAAACTAAACGAGTGAAATACTTCCACTTATCGTATATCATTCCTGCTGTTACAAAGATTATAAAAAAGGAAAAACAAAAGTTCAGGGTCGTTATTTTGGACTTATGTTGGATTGTCGGAGGAACAAAGTATTAATTGGAATTTTAATGGTATCCTCAATTTCAATTAAACTGTTTGATAGAAATTAATGCCTTAAAGCATAAACGATATGTGTACTTGTATCTACGAGGTGGAACGTAACAAATATTTTCAAATGAAAATTTACAGAGTTACGGATGAAGATGTTAGGTAAACCTAGTTTTCTATCACAAAATTGTTTTAAATAAATAAAATGGAATATAATTGTTGAACGTTTATGAATGGGTTTCATGTTATAGATGCAAATATACATATTGCTTAGTTTTTATGGTATTTATTTATAATTAATAGTCGAAAGGATGTATGCCATAAAATACTGTTTCTATGAAGAGGTCTCTTTTTCATGAGACTTTTCTCCGAACTGGGTGTACCGAATTGTTTAAAACTTTACAACGTGAATATGGAGGCTATAAGGAAGGTCCCAACACCCATGAAATTTTATTTTTTGTAAAGAATGTGTGAAAATCTATAAACAAATTTTTAAAAAATTGATACTTCAAGGAAGTCAGGATTTACGGCCCTTCAATTCATGGCGTAAAGTTTGAAACGATTTGATACACCCAGTTCGGAGAAGTTTCATGAACGAAATCTCTTTAACACCACTTTCGTAACACCTTAAAAATATAAACTCTTACACCATAATTTAAAAAATTACTTTTATGTCTGTTAAAAAAGTCTGACTGATGATGTTATCGTTTCCAGACAAGTATGCGTCGCAGTTTGGCTCAGGCAGCCAGTATGCCTACTATCACGACGAAGACGAATCGACGTTCCACCTGGTGGACACAACCCGAGTGCAAAAGCCTCTGTACCAGCGTGGTCGTTTCCGGCAGAATCAGCGTGGTATGCGTGGACGTGGTGGTCAACGTGGAAACATGAACCAAATGCAGCAGCTCGGCAAGATGAAACTGCGTGAGCGTGAAAGAAAGGGTCAAACGAAGAGGTGGGGTCGTCAGCAAGGTCTGCGGAACCACAAGAACCAGCCACCGATAAAGATTAGAGATGCTTCGGTGACAGTTCGTCCAGACTGGGTGACGATTGAAGAGATGGACTTCCCTCGTCTAGCAAAACTCTCATTGCCAGCAGTGAAGGAGGGCGAAGACATCCTCTGCTGCGGCTCCTTGGAGTATTATGACAAGACTTACGACAGAGTGAATGTCAAGAACGAGAAGCCACTGCAAAGAATCGACCGCATCTTCCACACCGTAACAACAACCGACGACCCTATCATCAGGAAGTTGTCGAAGAACGAAGGGAATGTTTATGCTACAGATGCCATCCTGGCCACGATAATGTGCTGCACTCGCAGCAACTACTCTTGGGATATTGTCATCGAGAAGATCGGTGACAAGTTGTTCCTGGATAAGCGAGATAATACGGAGTTTGATCTGTTGACTGTGAACGAGACCAGTGTCGAGCCACCGCAGGACGATGCAAACTCTTTGAACTCTCCGAGGAACCTCGCCCTGGAGGCGACGTTTATTAATCATAACTTCTCGCAACAGGTATTGAAGTCGAACGAGCCAAGATATAAGTTCGAAGAGCCCAATCCATTCGTGCAGGAAGAGGACGAAGCAGATGTGGCTAGTGTTGCTTATCGATACAGAAAGTGGGATTTGAACGATGGAGTGGTTCTGGTGGCTCGATGTGAACATGACGCAGTGATGCAGGGACCGAATAACGAGACGCAGTTCCTGACAATTAAGGCGCTCAATGAATGGGATTCGAAGCTGGCGAATGGTGTCGAGTGGAGGCAGAAGCTCGACACACAGCGGGGTGCTGTGTTGGCCAACGAGCTCAGAAATAATGCCTGCAAGCTCGCCAAGTGGACCGTGCAAGCCTTACTCGCTGGCTCCGATCAGCTGAAGTTTGGTTATGTTTCCAGAGCGATGGTTCGCGACTCCAGCAAACATGTTATTCTTGGCACTCAACAGTATAAGCCGAATGAGTTCGCTACGCAGATCAATCTTAACATGGATAACGCTTGGGGTATCTTACGGTGCATCATCGACATCTGTCTCAAGCAGAAGGATGGGAAATATCTTATCATGAAGGATCCAAACAAGCCGATGATCAGACTCTACGACATCCCTGATAACACCTTCGAGAGCGAAGGCGAAGAGGATGAGGACGATGACGAACCTGTTAACGATGCCTTTCAGACTTAATCGAGAAGCTTGAATTAACCTCGCGAGTGGACTACCTGTTTACTTGTGTGTATTGTATCGTGTACTTGGCGCGAAACGCTATCTTGGCTCCTCTGAGCTCTGTATTTACGCCGGGCACGATTTGAGGTTAGGGAGAGGATCTTTATGGAAATAAATTGCTACATCGGAAGGAGGGGTGTGTTCAGTTACCATGAAAGGTTCCTTTTGTTCGCTGAGTGTAAGATTTGTTATCAGTCAAGAAATCTTATTGTATCGAAGAGATATCGATTGCTTCACACTTTTACGAAATATCAACCAGTCAGTTTATAAAGGATTGTGCACTATGAAATGAAATATCACTTTTCAAAAAATGGCCCGTTAACAAGTTTACAGTTTTTTTTCTTACGTCAAAATTCAATATGACCAATTAGCTTTGCGGACCATTAACACTTTGGTTTTCTAGTAAGACGTTGACATTACAATTAAGATATCGTTCTTTTATTCATTGTATGTAATAATAATTATTACAAAATGAAGGTTTGGGGATGTAACTAAAAATTGCTAAGGACAATGCTTTTACAGTGTCCGAATCTATTCATAAAAATAGCAATCGACGAGATTATCATAAACATTTACTAAATATCAAATGTTTGTTAGACGGTAACAAAAGAATGCTATTAAAGTCATCATCACTTCATAACCTCATAAATTTGAAAGCGATGGATCTAGTTTCTTAATAACATATTTAATTTTCCTGATAGCAGCTTCGGTGTCTTCGTCAGTAATCTCATAGTAAAATACAAGTCTGGCCAGCTCCTGCGTAAGTGCCAAACCTCTAACGATAACCTTATCATCGAAGCAATCCTCTTCCACTCTCTCTAGTCTGTCTATAAAAGTAATAGCATTAACAGAGTTTTCATCACCGTTGACTTTAATCATGACCATATTAGTCTTTGTAGTGTCCAGGTCTACGGAGAACAGCTTCGAGCCAAGACCATGGACCGCCTCTGCGATCAGTCTGGCTCTTCGATGGTCTTCCTTCAACAATGGGATAATCTCTTCGATGGCAACCAGCCCAGCTGCTGCGAGGACTCCAACTTGCCTCATGCCACCTCCAAGGACCTTTCGCACTCTTCTTGCCTGCTGGACGAAGCTCTTCGATCCACACAACAAAGAACCCACTGGTGCTCCGAGGCCTTTGCTCAAACAGAAAGTGACCGAGTCAAAATTTGCTACGATCTCTCTGGCAGGAATCCCAGAGGCTACGGAGGCATTCCATAATCTGGCTCCGTCCATGTGAGTCTTCAAGCTGTGCTTCTTGGCAAAAATTATCAACTCATCGATCCAGGATTGAGGTAACACTTTGCCATTTATTGTGTTTTCTACCATTACTAGCTTCGAGATTGGCTCGTGCAGACGGTCGCTTCGGAGGTTAGATTTCAGCTTTTTTAGGCAGAAGGTTCCATCGGGGTTGCTTCGAAGACTGCATAATGTCACTCCAGCTAACTGAGCAGCTCCTCCTTGCTCGTGTAGGACCGGGTGAGACTCTTCGCTGCAGTAGGCTTCGCTGCCTCTTACATCACAGTGGATCATGACTGAAAATTTCAAGAGTGCTTATTACAATTTGGGAAGTGAGAATGTGGTGAAATGTGCTTTAATATTTTTAACAATCCAGTGGAAAACAATGTATGATTTGGTGAGACTCTTACGTACTAGCAATTAAATTGCCCATGGTACCGGATGTGACGAAAATCGCGGCTTCTTTCCCAAGCAGTTTGGCTGCCTTCTCCTCCAGCGCTATAATAAAAAACATTATTTATAAAATATTTTCTCTATTCATTTATCGGTTATTTCTATACGAATACAAGTGTGTATATTTGGCGCGAGACTGTTCATTTTTTCATTATTTCTAAACGTATACAAGTGCATGTATTTGGTGCGAGACTCTATTCATTTTTTCGTTATTTCTATACGTCATCTATATGCAAGAATGTATGTATTTGGCGTAAGACTCTATTCATTTTTTCATTATTCCTATACAAATATAAATGCATGTATTTGGTGCGAGACTCTATTCATTTTTTCGTTATTTCTATACAAATATAAGTACATGTATTTGGCGCGAGACTCTATTCATTTTTTCGTTATTTCTATACGTATACAAGTGCATGTATTTGACGTGAAACTCTAGTCATTTTTTCGTTATTCCTATACAAATACAAGTGCATGTATTTGGTGCGAGGCTCTGTTCATTTTTTCGTTATTTCTATACGTATTCGCATGCATATATTTGGTGCGATACTCTATTCATTTTTTTTTGTTATTTCTATACGTATACAAGTGCACGTATTTGGTGCGAAACTCTATTAATTTTTCCATTATTTCTATACGTACTCAAGTGCATGTATTTGATGCGAGACTCTATTAATTTTTCCATGTACTTGGTGCGGGACTCTATTTATTTATTCGTTATTTCTGTACGCAAATGAATGCAATGGCGATTCGCTATAAGGGGTGATTAACTTGATATATAATCACACCTTTCACCGTAGGATCTTCTCCGTATACATCATCCCCAAGTTCTGCGTTAATCATCGCCATTTTCATCGCTTTAGATGGCTTCGAAATGGTGTCGCTTCGGAGATCGACCAGTCGAGCCTGAAATCGGAAAATGACGAGATTTTACTAACATTTCATGTATTTCGTGAAAAGGACTTCATGCACAGGTATAGAAAATATTACCAAAAGTTCTACCTAGAGCAAACATTTAGTTACAGCTAAACGTCACAGATGGCGACGTTGGTTCGTCAAAATATAAACAGTCGTGAATTCTTGGGATTTCGGCAGTTCGATCTTTTTATATAATTAAAACCAGTAAAGTTCCATTTGACCGAAGAATTAATTTTTTTTCTAGAAAGTGTTCTTTCTTTCTCAATATATAAGAATAATTTTTTTCAAATGCACTGGATTAATATTTGTATACTCACATTCTTTTCCTTGGCATAATTGCTGAAGTCGATGCTCGCTTCGTTTCCATATGACATTTTGATGTTTAATGCTGCAGGTCCGTGGAAACTCCTTGAATAGAATTTTTCACTTAGCTAGACAAAATATGAAAAAAATATTGACAGTAAACATGGATACTTGGCAGCACTTAATTCCTATATAAACAGTTAGAATATGAAAAATGTATACAGTGAACACACAGTGAATGTTTAAAAAAAAACAATTGATATGAAAGGATCATTATATATAAAACGTTAAAATATTTATAAAACTTTTCTTCAAACTAAGTGCACCGAATCATTTGAAACTTCGTGATTGTAGACATGCTCATGAAATTTAATTTTGTTTTTTTTAAATATGTATTCTTAGTTCTAGTCTGGGATAAACATCAAAAATGACATTTCTAATTAAAAATCGATGATCTGAAGATAAAACATTAAAAAAGAATTATTTACGCAGTTATTAAACAAAAAATCCAAATCTTGCGGAACTCAAAGTCTTTTTCGTACTCTATGGGTTAAGTAGAAATAAAGTGGAACTTAAATTATAGTTCCACTTAACGCCGCGAGTGTCGCTACAATTCCGTCAACTTTTCCTAACAAGGCGACCCATCTCTATCATGGTTTTTTTTTAAATATGTGTTCTCAGTTCTAGTCTGGGATAAACATAAAAATGACATTTCAAATTAAAAATCGATGACTTGAAGGTGAAATATTAAAAAAGAAGTATTTACGCAGTTATTAAACAAAAAATCCACATCTTGCGGAACTCAAAGTCTCAAAGAAAAATGACATTTCAAGTTAAAAATCGACGACCTGAAGGTAAAATATTAAAAAAGAATTATTTACGCAGTTATTAAACAGAAAATTCAAATCTTGCGGAACTCAAAGTCTCTTTCGTGCTCTATGGGTTAAATAGAAATAAAGTGGAACTTAAATTATGATTCCACTTGACGCCGCGAGTGTCGCTACAATTCCGTCAACTTTTCCTAACAAGACGACCCATCTCTATCATAGTTCATGACTTTTCTCCATCTATACAACCACGCGTACAGAATATAAGTATATTTTTAATTCAGCTCACGATTAATCAATTAACATCGCTCCTTCTAATAAGAAAATAATTTTCAATCGTTGAAAGACAATCAACGCTTTAACGAGCGACAAACTTGGAATATTCGAATCGTTAGAAAAAATGAATATTTTCTTTCAACGAAATTCTTGATGCCGTACCAGAAAATACATATTGAGAAGAAGACCAGAAAGGAACTATGTTGAAAAATGGTCACGTGATAATTAATTAACCGAAGAAAAAATAATATTTGCAGGTCGTACCTAATTCTTCGTCGGCCAACTAACACGTGTCCAGCAGCAACTAGACTGACAAGCTTCGAGATTATAAACGAGGTTGATTAGATTGTACGTTCAGTTAACCTGATAAATGTACAATGGTTGAAATTCCTCCTTTCCGCGGTTGGTATTACCGACGGAAGTTTTCCGCGTTATCGACGGTAGACTGCTAAATTTTAAGCACTACACTCGCACGGTCAGAGTAAGAGCCTTATGTGGAGAATATGTGAACTAAACATCTATTTCTAGAGAGCATTGTGGATAAAGTAGGGATTTTCTACTTTCGGATTATCAATTACGAAACTATGTCTCCATCATACTTGAAATCCAAGATTTATCGAATCCGGATCCAGTAAATCCTAATTTAAGTGTTAATTGAGACGCTTAGGATTGAAATTGTGTATTTATTAATACGATTGAGACTTGCGATTTACTGGATCCGGATTTAGAAGGACGGTGGAAACGTAGTCATGGACTTTTCAATGCTTCCTCCTACTCACCATCATTCATTTCCTTTTTTGACTAAAATGTTTATTTAAACTGAACTTCCCTTAAGTATTTAACGTGAAAAAAACTCAAATAGCGCGACACTGCACAATCCTACATACTATAGCAATGCCTTTTTCATGTCTATAAGCTCTATGCTCGGCAAGCGACGCCCCCTCACTTTACTTTCAAGCGTGCAAGAAGGACACGGCGAGCGGATACCTCTTCGAGTGAGAGAGAGAGAACCGACCCTACCGGTCATCGTGGCGCCATCTAGCGGCGCCACGGGAAACTCCGTACCCCACCTAGAGTAGCCCCCACCCTAGAGCGTGCAACAAGGACGTAGCGAGCAGAAGCCCCTTCATGCGAGAGAGAGGATCGATCCAACCGGCGGCCTTGCGCGCCCGTGGCGCCATCTAGCGGTGTCGCGGGGAACTCCGTACCCCACCTACAGTGTCCCCCACCCTAGAACGTCCAACAAGGACGCGACGAATGCCTAGCAAGGCGTGCGAGGGAGACAGGTTGGAGCCTGCGCGCAGCCTGGCGCGCGCGGTCGGCGCAACGGGCAGAAGCGTCTCGGCAGCGGCCGACCATAGAGTGTGACCCGGCGGTGCGTAGATGCGCGGTGCGTGGCTGCGCTCGCTCGGCTCCCGGACTGCGTTGCGTCGTTCCCGTCTCATCCGGCTCGAGGGTGACCCTTGGTCGACGCCCGGCCGACTCGACCAGGGCGCGCGAATAACTCCAGGACGCCCCGCGCGGTCCATCGCTCTCCAAGATGGCGGACGCCGACTCGAGGGTCGACCGGTCGGACCCGGAGCTGCGATTTCTTTCGGTCGACCGGAACAGTTTCAACGACCCCGCGACCCAGGCCGAGTGGACCCAGAAGAAGCTCGTCTGGGTGCCCCATGAGACCCAGGGCTTCGTCGCCGCCGGCATTAAGGGCGAGCGCGGCGACGAGGTCGAGGTCGAGGTCGCCGAGACCGGCAAACGCGTCCTCGTCGCCAAGGACGACATCCAGAAGATGAACCCGCCCAAGTTCGACAAGGTCGAGGATATGGCAGAGTTGACCTGCCTCAACGAAGCCTCCGTGCTGCATAACCTCAAGGACCGGTACTATTCTGGCCTTATCTATGTGAGTACTTTCTTTAAGATTGGTTAACGTTGCTTTGGGGAGGCTTACGATACTTTGTAACCTTGGATTGTAGGTCTCGAATACTGCGAAGGCCCTTCGAGGTTAGGGCGGAGGGTTACGTCGACAGGGATAGGAAGGTTTCTACGAAACTTTTCCGTGAAGTATGACATAATTAAGATGGGTTAATCTTTTAAACTGTTAAATCCTTATGTTCATTTGGGAAGGTTTAAAGCCCTTTATGACCCTGGATTGTAGGTCTCGCATAGTGGGAAGGCTCTTCGAGGTTAGGGCAATCCATTACGTCGGCAGGGATCGGAAGAATTCCATGAAACCTTTGTGTGAAGGCTGAGTCTCTTCAGCTGGGTTAATATTATGTTGGGAGATTTAATGTCGTTTCTAACCGTCAATTGTAACCGCACCTTTTGGGTTAGCCCTTTAGGTTAGATCGAAGGTTTATGATGGCAAGGATCGGAAGGTTTCCACAAAACCTTTACGTGAAGTATGAGTTCCTTCGGGTGGGTTAATCTTGTGTCGGAAACTTTAAAGTCGTTTCTAACCTTCATTTGCAGACGGCACCTTTTTGGTCAGCCCTTTTTAGGTTAGACTGAAGGATTATATAGAAGAAGGCTTACGTCGGCAGGGATCGGAATGTTTTCTTGCTGAGAGATTGAGGACTGAGTTCCTTCATCTCGGTTAATCTTATATTAGATGTTTTAACGTCATTTCTAACCTTTAACTGTAAACCGCACCTTTAGGGCTAGCCTTTTCTAGGTTAGATCAAGGGATTGTATCATCAGGAGTCGGAGGTGTTCCCAAAGTTTTTACGCTGTGTCGTTAAAATCTGACTTTATTCAAGACTATATTCTAGCATTTCAAAGCTGTTTATAATTCTCCACTCTAAGCCTCAACCCTTGGATTCACCCTTTTGAGGTTAAAGGCTTACGTCGGCAAGAGGTTAAGTCGAAGGTTGACAATCGTAGAAGTTATAAGGATTGAAACGTTTCCATATCGGACGATTAAAATCTTACTTTATTCAACCCATATTATAATATTAAGTTGAGAAACAAGTTCCCATTGTTTTTAACGTAACGTAACATAATTAAAACAGCTGGAACTTATTCCTCGATCTAACGTTTTCAAAGTCCTTTCTAAACTTCATTTGTAAACTTTAACTCTCAGGCCAGCCCTTTTGAGGTTAGATCGAAGGACACATCGAAGCAGGATCAGAGGATTTACACGCCAGGTTATTGAAGTCCGTTACACGAAGAGTTCACAGAGAACGCAAGAATGTTCTGGGTTCTCGTACTTCACTTTCAGCATTAAATGACGTCCTTTATCTGCCGTCTTTAAATTACTAAAAGACGTCTTTTAGCTCTAAATGTGAGTTGTGGGTACGAGACTAAGTGGAGAAATTTCTGCCAAGCATTATTCTGGGTTCGTGCATATTTAGTTTTACCCTTTGCTATTTCTTATCTATCTTCCTATGTAAAATTAATTACGCACCGATCGAATGTATTAGCTCCGAGGGGAGTTGATTTACTTTCGGGTCTGTCCTATCAGCATCGGATAGGTTAGTTTCCTTGGGAGTTTCTTATCGGCCTCTGATAAAACACGTCTTGCCTTTAATACTCTCTGACTCATGCCTACCTAGTTGGAACAGTGCGTTGTATGGAAGGATAGAAGTCGCTTTTTATAAACGTCAAAACTTTCCTGATCCCTGATCGAATGATTCGACCGGCTTATGATTTTCTGCGTAACTGTTCGTCTCTGTAGCGCAATCATTTTCATTTCTGGCGCAATAATCCCCTATCGAATCTTTCTGGTATTTTCATGTAATTTATGTTACGATATCTTAATAGTTTATTTTCTAGTATTTTATTTTTTCATATTTTTATGTTCCAACATCTTAACGGTATACTTTCTAGCATTCATAATGCGATATTTTATTATCTGGTATTTCATTTTTTTGCATTTCATGATTAACGTTAATGCACAAAATGTGTGTAATATGACGAATATGTCGAAATTCTCTGTTGATTTTGAATCTCCTTTAGAAAAAGGTTGAAACAGAATGTCAGAATCGTTTTCATGCAACGAGAAATTTCTTTCGCAACTGTTCCCATGTCGGATAAAAAGCTTTGTTACCAAACCTATCGATAATTTATATCCTCATTATCGATACCATTTAAAAATGATAATTTGACGGTAAGGTATAGCGATATATAAATAGTTCAATTTACCCTAATCAACTAAAAGTTATTAAGCGATGAATTCTTTGTCGTGTCAATACCATTTAAAAATGATAATTTGACGGTAAGGTATAGCGATATATAAATAGTTCAATTTACCCTAATCAACTAAAAGTTATTAACCGATGAATTCTTTGTCGTGTCAATACCATTTAAAAATCATAATTTGACGGTAAGGTTTAGCGTTATATAAATAGTTAAATTTACCCTAATCAACTAAAAGTTATTAACTGATGAATTCTTTGTCGTGTCAAGAAAATATCTCTTTGATTACATAATAATCATATTATATGGATAAATTAAAAATGAATTTTATCGAGAGGAAGAAATCTTTTTCTTTTTTTTTTGCAAATAAGAAATATAATCGTGAACCCTTCCGAGATCGTTGCCCTCGTTTTGAGGTTATCTCCGCGTCGGTAGTGCAGTTTTTCCTGGGCGCGCGGTCGGTAAGGCAGAGCGTTCCGGTGATAGGACCCCGAGAGCGATAAGATAACGACTCGGGCAGCTGTTGTCGCCGAATGGTTTTTCTCTTTTTACATTTTTTTTTTCCTCTCTCTCCGTGATTCGCGAGCTCTCGGTATCTACGTTATCAATTTCCCCCGATTCCGCGGTCCACCCTGTAATCTTATATCGGCCTCTCGAAGAGTCCCCGAGGAGTTATTGGGAGACCCTTTAAGGTGAAGTGAAACACGTCGAGGAACTTGATCGACGTCGATAAAGGAGATTTTTCTAAATGCCTACGTTGCCGACGTTGGTTTTTATATCGACAGCTGTGTCGAATTATATTGGATATTGTAACAAATGGCATATTCCATCTGTCATTTTCGTACAATAATTATAAAGAAATCGAAGTGAAACTCCAGAAATCCTCTGGATTCGTGCTTTCTGGGGCCCTAATTGACTGCAGAGGGACCCCCTGCGCCATCTGTGATTTCCAGGTCAATTAAATTTTCACTCCGAGACCTCGTATTCCCATCGTTTTGGCATAGAAGCGCATACAACACTTTTTTTGCCTTTATCCCGTTCAAATGCGAGTTTATCGATTACCAGAGTGTTCTAAATTGTCGTTTAATTATCCTGACACTTTCGTTCCTCATATTAGAGCACAAAAATTGCGTCAAATCGGCAAAATTGCGAATTGACGCATTTCGTTTACTTTTCAACAACTCTAAGGTGAAGTGAGAAACAGAAATTTGATCGACATCGATAAAGAAGATTTTTCTAAATACCTACGTTGCCGATGTTGGTCTTTATGTGGACAGCCGTGTCGAATTATATTGATTATTGGACTAAAAGACATACCCTACATGTCGTTTTCATACAATAATTATAAAGAAATCGAAGTAAAACTCCAGAATCCTCTGAATTCATGCTTTCTGGGGCCCTAATTGACTGCAGAGGGACCCCCTGCGCCATCTGTGATTTCCAGGTCAATTAAATTTTCACTCCGAGACCTCGTATTCCCATCGTTTTGGCATAGAAGCGCATGCAACACTTTTTTTGCCTTTATCCCGTTCAAATGCGAGTTTATCGGTTACCAGAGTGTTTTAAATTGTCGTTTAATTATCCTGACACTTTCGTTCCTCATATTAGAGCACAAAAATTGCGTCAAATACCTTCCTTGTAAGTGAAAATATGGCGGAGGTTACAATTCTATTTTTTTTTCTTTTTTTTTCTTCCGGGGGAGGATATTCCGTTCGCGGTTTTCGAGCTTTCTTCGGAGTCGCGCCGAATCGATCGCGACGAGAGAGAGAAGGTCGCCTCGACGGCATTGTGCTCTCTCTCGATCTTTCTTTCTCTCCTTCTATCGGAGTACGACGCTCGGAGTGACTCACGCGTGACTGATTCAGCAAACACGGCATGAAAGAGCCGAGGAACGAGCGAGACGAACAATAAGGAGGGCGGGCGCGCGCCCAAGGCGGGCGACCCGAGAGATTCGACCGGTGATTACTTTTGGGACCGGCCGCCATCTTGGATACGCCGCCCGCTCTGATTGGCTGCTCGCCGAGTGACGTCACGTCACCGCCGCGCCGCGCGGTCGGCCCAAGGCGTTTATTACGTATTTTTGACGAGAGCGCTCACTTCTCCCACTTTCATCTCACGTGGGTTTATTCCCCGAATTACGTATTCATTATATGAAAGAACGAAATCAGTAGTACTTTTGGGTGTTTATTATGTATTTTTGAGGAGCGCGCTCACTTCTCGCACTTTCATCTCACGTGGGTTTATTCCCCGAATTACGTACTCGCTATATGAAAGAACGAAATCATTAGTACTTTTGGGTGTTTAATATGTATTTTTGAGGAGCGCGCTCACTTCTCGCACTTTCATCTCACGTGGGTTTATTCGCTGAATTACGTATTCGCTATATGAAAGAACGAGATCACTAGCACTTCCGGTCTAGTAATATTGCAAATAAAGGTATATACCTTGTAAATCAAAAATTGTTAGAGGTAATAGGTTATAGACATGAAAGGCGGGAAGACGGAAAGACGTTAAACGTAAAGAAGAGGATTCGAATCTATTCAAATTTTTTAAATATCTATTACATTCATATTTACATGTACTGTAATTAGAAGTTCAACGATATAATTTTCTTATCGTGTCGTGTAAGCATGAATTATTTAACAGTTTTCAATGTTTAATAATGTAACATAACCTCGCAGTAACAAAAACTAACCTGTACATCCTAGTAAATTCTCTTTCTTCTAACGAAAATGGGTCCGAGGCCTCACGTAATTCCCTTCTTCTTCTAATAAGGTTATTATTACGTCCCCGAATACGATCGTTGGCAAAAATCAAAACACCCAGGAGGTTTTCCATTTTGAATTTCGGGGTCACGATCCGTGGAAGATGGCGCTCACGGCGCTTATTTTTCTATCTTTTCTTGTATGCTTCC